CAGTGATGACAGGTCACAGAATCATCAAGTTTGGAAGAGACCTTCAAAATTTTCTGGTCCAGCTGTTAACCCAGGGCCAACATAATCATCCCTCTACCATATCCCAAAGTGCAATATCCAGATGGCATCTGAACACTTCCAGAGACTCCACTACCTCCCTGAGCTACTTGTTCCAGTGCCTAAACACTGTGAAAAGAGATTTTTTTAACAACTAATCTTAACCTCACCCAAGGCAACTCAAGTCCATTTCCTCTCTTGCTGTCACTAAAGGCTTTGTAGAAGAGCCCAAGCCCCACCTCACTAAAATCTCCTTTCAGATCATGGTAGAGGGTGATGAGGTGCACTCTGAGCCTCCTCTTCTGCAGACTAAAGAACCCCAGTTCCCTCAGCTGCTCCTCATCAGACAGGTTTTCCAGACCCTTCCCCAGCTGCGTTCCCTTCTCTGGACACGCTCTAGCCCCTCCAGGGCCTTTTTGCACTCAGGGACCAGAACTGGACACAGCACTCGAGGTGGGGCCTCCCCAGTACCCAGCACAGAGGGGCAATCACTGCCCTGGGCCTGCTGGCCACCCTGTTCTCCAGAAAGATTAGGATGCCATTGGCCTTCTTGCCCCCCTGGGCACACTCTGGCTCATATCCAGTCACTGTCAAGCAGCACCCCCAAGTCCCTTCCTGCTGAGCAGCTCTCAAGCCCCTCTTTCCCCAGCCTGGAGCGTTCCAAAGGGTTGTTGGGACCCAAGTGCAGGTCCTGACACTTGGCCTGATTGATGCAGCCTGTCCAGATCCCTCTGCAGAGCCTTCCTGCCCTGCAGCAGATCCACACTCACACCCAACTTCATGGGATCCCCTAATTTCCTGAGGGGGCACTTGATCCCCTCATCCAGATCATCAATAACGATGTTAAACAGGAGCAGCCCCAACGCTGAGCCCTTGGGAACCCCACTAGTGACCGGCCCCACCTGGATTTAGTTCCATCCCCCACCACTCCCTGGGCCATCAGCCAGTTTTTCCCCAGCAAACAGTTCCCTCATCCAGGCCATGAGCAGCCAGTTTGTGCAGGAGATGCTGTGGGAGATGGGGCCAAAGGCTTTCC